AAATGGCAAAAAATATTTGCTTGGGTATTACAACTGTAGCTTGATATTGAAAGGATGGGAACCAGTTTCTTAATTATATTCCTTCGATGTTCTTTGGTATGCACATAGCCAAGCCTTCTCCTACTTAAAATCTTAGCTACAAACTTAGTTGATAAGTAATTTTGAATCAAGAAAGTCACTGCCAATCAGACAACCCAAATTAGCTTTCTCTATAGTCCATACCATAAATGCATTACCAACACTGAGCCCCAAAGAGATGAGAAACCAACAAAAGATGAGATTTTCTTACCTTTCTCCTTTTCTTCTTCATTAATGTAAGAAGTTCTCTTAACATCAATTGAATAATAAAACAAATTTTTGTAAATCGCATAAAAGAAAATTGAAGTCTTTTGTATATATGGAAATATAATACGCTAAGGCATTCGAATGGAGTTTGATGAAGCATCAGCATATTCAAAATGAGATTAAATGCCATTGCGATGTTTAATTAAATTCTTAATTTTCATTTTTTGATCTCAAGATTTTTTTTTATTCAGTTTTCTTTTTGAAAATGAAAAAAATCTTTCATGTGGAATTAAATTCTTATTCTCTTCAACTTGTTCTTCTTTTTTATTTGAATTTGATCTTTATATTGCTTAAGTACATTGTGTGTATTTCGCATATTTTCTTTTGTGATCTCAAAAGTCTGTATATGCTTGAGATGCTTCTTCTTTTCTGCGTGAACGGGTTTGTTTGAATTAACGTGTTGTTGCTGGCAGTTTGTCGTTGCTCGCACCAAACTGGATTGGTTAGGAACTGTATTGAATTTGTTTCATAATCAAGGAATGGCAGATCATCGAATCCATGAATTCATCAATCTCCTGATTTTATCAGACTCAAGGTTGATGTCCTCATTCTTAATAGACATCAAAACCTGCAAAATACTTTCGTATCAAAATTAAAATCGTATTTCTTACTTGTCTTTATTCCTTTTTTCAATTTAAACGAAGGCAATATTTGCTTACAATTAGAGGTTTTAATAGCACTCGTAAGTACCTCATTATGTCACCGATTTCCTTCTTATTAAGCCTTTAGCCTCTTCCTGTAGTTGGATTCTTCTTCCTTTTCTTCATATTTTTTTTGATATTTTTATTGCGATTATTTTTTTTTAAGAGGTGAAGCATGAACGTAAGTAGATTTTTGTTATTGCTTGCTGATGCGAATTTGAGGGTAATTGATATTTACTGTTGGAGATGAAATTGAAGATTTGATTAGGTTTCAAAAAATAAATTAAGCAGAAAATTATTGTTCTTGCTGAATTTAACAATTATTAAAAAATATTTTATATTTAATTGAGGGATAGTTGCAGATATCCTGCAAAAGTGTCGATTCATTGAGTTTCTAAAAATAATTCTAAATATCATGTAAAATGGTAAGACCATAAAGAATTCACCATTGTAAAATATTTTCAACAGAAAAATTTCTGACCTCCATGTAAGTCCATCCCAAGTCCATCAAAAAAGAGTCAGAAAATTTTGAAAACATAAAAAAAATGATGACTTAGCATCAAAAGATGAATAGCCATCAATTAAGAATCACTATTAACATCAAAGCGCGAGATGAAAATTGATCAACAAAAATAAGGAATGTATTGAGAAGTGATGTCATTTCATGACAGCATTAAAATGAAATTTCTGCACACGTAAAAATAAGAAGGCTGCTTTTAATGGCTAAAGCGGAAATATTAAAAATGAGATATACATGATGAAAATATGACCACACACTCGGCTATACTCTCTCGTCTGTGAGCTTTCAAATATATTCGTATATATATAATGGTGCCACATAAAGATTAACGTTTTAATGCTTTAATTATTTAATGGACTTCATCACTTAAAGTCATTTCAATATGTATAGTCAGGTTTGAATATATTCGATCTCTATTAACACTCGGAATGAGCCTGTTTTATAAATTCTGATAATTGTCTGTTGTTCCTTGAATATTTTGTGGATATTGGATAAAATGGCATAGGAACTGGTTCAGAAGAGTTGTAAAAGAGGGCCAGATTGTGTCCACGCATGACTGGTTGCATCGTACAATTATATCAACTCTACAGAGGAAAGCTAGTAAGTTCCTGAAATAAAAACAACAGGTTCATCCCATCCTTTAAAGAGGATCAACTCTAGTCCACCAATAATAATACCCAAGCCCAGAGAAAGAGTAAGAAGACTGAGAAGAAAAAGGAGGAAGAGAAAAAACGACTAAAATTAATAATCAATTAATACAGAGATTGAGATAATTAACATTAAAAAGATTTTTATATTAAAGAAGCACAGCAAAAAAAAAATGTTTTAAATCAAAGGAGATTAAAAGTTTTTTTTCTTCGATTTTTAAGCTCCTCAAGCACCGACTCTGTGAGAGTGAGCAAAAAAATATGTGGATAATGACAACAAATTATATTTCGCTTTTTTTTCATAAATATTTATTTATGGAAACGTGATATTATTTCGATGAGAAGATCAAGGCGCTTAATGGCTGTCTCTGCGCATATCTACATCATATACACATATATTCAGTGCTTATCTTTGCATTCAAATCTTCTTTTTCATATTCTCTTCATTTTAATTTCTGTGTATATTTCATTTCTGTATGTTCTTTTCGGCTGCTGGTTTTTAATAAATAAATATGCTTAAGAGAAGTGTGGCTCGGTAAGTTTGATGGGGTGGATTGTGACAATATTAAGTTAAAATTAGTAAGCAAGTGTGTTTTAAAATAATCAATTGTCTTTGAAATGTTTGGAATATTCCACATAAGCTGATAAAGTTCTGAAGACCATCAATGACAATAAGAACACGTGTCATCCCAGTCATCTTAAAAAAAACCAGGAACAATGAAAACTCTACAATCAAAATTTATTATTTAAAATATACAAAAAAAAAAGTTCTTCAAGTTATGTATATGCATACATTAGCATGTATAGTAGGGTTGTGAGACAAACATGAGAGAAAACATCAAACAGTAGCCATTGCCTGACTACAGCTCCACATTTTGCTCACTTTTATTATATTATTGTGAACAGCTCACTCACTCATGACTTGAGTGATACATATATATATATATACACATCTACATAAAGTGATCTCTCTTCAACGTCGCATGAATTCCTTTGATCTCTGACTCGTAAAATTTTATTATGGATTTCAAAGCGCGTCGCTTTTTTGTGTTCACAAAATGTTTCGTTGGAAGCAAAAAAACAAGAAGGAACAAGAAGTAGAAAAAGAATGAAATAAGTCGTAACAATAAAAAAAAAATTCACTTGATACTCTCGTGTGTACGATTATATCATTTATTTGATGATTTGTTCTTTTATGCAGATGGACAAAGAATAATCTTGATCTTTTTGGCGATTTATGAGAAAGTGTTGAGATGGATTTTGGGTACCAAGGGGTTGAAGAGATGATTTTTAGCACTTAATTAGGTGTTTATGGGTTTATTTTATATTGTAAGCTTTATGAAATTCGAATTGAAGCTAAAATAGTACGTCGTATCAAAAATTGAGAACATCTGACTCAAATATTCAAAATTCAGTGTTGCGCAGGAGGTCCTCATCATTGTGGACAATAAAAATTTGCTTATGACAACTGATGAAATCAAAATAATATAAGGAAAGCTCATAAACTCAACGATTTAGAATGATAGTCATAAAACTGAAACTTAATCTAATTTTTTGAGTCATAAAATTAATAAATTTTCCATCCACGAAGCTGGTCATTTCACCAACTCGAGATAATCGCTCTTTTAAGTGGCTTCTTACCATTTATTTGTGTGCTTCTCTTTTATGTGAGATTTAATTTACCGACAAACAGAATTAAAATGATACAAGAAGCATCGTTGTTAAGGTTTATTCCCATGAATATTCCGTACACACATATGCAAGGATTTAAAAAAAAAATTAAGACAAAAAAATATGTGAAAGATAAACTGAAGTGGTTTTTCAGCAGAATTTACTTAATTTTTACTCATTAATTTCTGAAAATGACGATGATTAAGAAAGATATTAAAAAATTTGTCATCAATGTTATTCTGTCCTGTCGATATTGCTGAAAAATTTAAATATTTTTAATCCATAGGTTTAAGATTTTTCTGTTTATTTAGCCGATTATAGCCATTAAATTTCTAAATGGATGATTTAATTATTGCGAGATAAAGTTTTTTTGGCATATTGGTTAAGGAAATAAAATGTTAAGTCACTGCTCAGTTGATGTCTGAACATGGAAAATTCATGGACATTCGAGAGGATTAAAAATCCGTTAATATTTTTATTTATGAATATTCAAAGATTCGTGGGTCTAAATGTTGATAATGTTAAAGGAATTCAGTAAAAAATTATGAATTTTTCATGTCTCAATTGCTTTTAATTGTCACTTTCTTATTATTCAACACATTATTAAAAATCATTATTTATGCTGTAAACTTTTTATTGGGGTCTATTTTGCCTATAAAATTCATGTAATTTGAACTCGTGAGTCACAAAAATTAGCCATTAAAATTGATATTCACAAATTCAAATTTAAATCATCTGAAATTAAAGCTCGTGACATTAATTTAGTTCCTGGATGTAAAGAAATAATGAATTTTAAAATATTAATTAAATTAAGCTTTTACAACTACAGGACACGATGATTGGTGAGGTATTAGGTTCTATATTCTTTGGGGACATTCACTTATTACTAATCAATGGTTTGTGAGCCTTTAAAATCAGAAACTTGAGAATAAAGGCCTTAACAGAACACCATTTGATATTGTTTGATTAAAGCAACAATAAAGCAAATTACTGACTTAAATATTAATTGTCAATTATCAAAAGCCAAATAGAATCAAATGAACTTTAAGTCATACAAAATAAGCTGAATGTGCCAAATAATGTCACGACTTGTAAAACTTACAAAATATTTTATGAACTTTTTTTTTAATTATCTTCCTAGAGCCTATAAAACAGCAAGTCAATGCATGTCTCTGTTTAAATATATTTCTTAGAACAACAAGTGAAGTTGAATTCCTTAAAAATAAATAAAATGGAACGAGAGCTTTTCCTAATTTGCACAATTTTAATTTCAATCAACTGGATTTTTTGTGGAAGTCCAACATTTAATCCAGAAGAGCCATCGCCAAGATCAACAAACGAAAATCTTTGTCCATTGTGTGAAGATGTTTATGCAAATAATGTTCCACCAAGCAAGAATGACAATTGCGATCCAGGAAGTTTAGAAAAAATGTTCTCAAAGTCAACTACAAATGATACTGTTGTAGTGATTGGTGCATGTAGTGGAACAATTGTTTGGAAGGGATTCCAAGGATGGGCTGATTTCCGAGTGTTCCCATCAAAGCCACTGTTCTGATCTAATCTCTTTAAAAATATTCGTGAAGTGTAAAATTACTAGAATTTAATAAAAAGTCGATAAAGTTTTTAAATCAATGTTTAAATCAGTTTGTGATGGATAAACTTAGTGTAAAACCATAAGTGAATTCAAATGAAATTGTGAAATCGCAAAAAATTCCATATCTTCATTAATTTGTGCATATCCAATAGCTACCTTTCTTCTTTTACTGCCATTTTATTTAATAAATTCTCTTGGAAGAAAAAGATCGAATAAAAAATCGATAAAATTTTTTCGAAACATTTAACGCATTCCGCGCGAGAAGCTCACACGCAAGATAAGATCAGCAAATTTTACTACCCATTATACCTTCCATGAAATATTTATTGTCGCTCATCGGTGATATCGAATTTCATATTGATGAATCAATTTTATTTGTTTTGAATTTTTATGATGCGAAAATCGAGTTTTTTGACTTGGCTTGTGAATTATTGAATTTAATGTCTATATTTATACTGCATGGGGTCGTTAGAGTGTTATTTTTGGACATTATTAAGGAAGATTATTGAAGTTTGAATTTGATTTACAAGAATTTCAATTGAAAGAGAAATTTACAACAATTTTATGAATAAATATTCAGGAAAGACATTTACAAATGTTTTTAAGTGCAAGTTTAATGACTTTTGAGTGATAAAATGAAATTTTGTGACGGCACGTTTTGAAAATAAATTGAAAAGCTTACAGAATGTGAAAATTTTTTCCAAAGGCATTAAGTCAGAATAAATGACTTTTTTCAAAATAATGGAAAAACAAATAGTGAAGGTGATGAGTTCTGACTAGAAGGGCATTTTTAAATAATTCAGGTGTTGGTTTCTAGAGCTACATTTGGCACCCCTTCCAAGCAAGCTTCCTTTAAATATAAAGCATTCTAGAAGTTCAACGTATAGCCATGAAAACTGCTCGTAAATTCAACAAATGAATATTTTGTCACCCGGAGGACAACGCAGCTTGCAAAAAAATTTAATTTACAATAAGTTTTAAGATCAGAAACTATCCGATTTTCTTCAAAACCTTTTTGTGCATTTGTCGTTCTCATTTTCGTCACATCGATCGACATTATTAAGTCACATCTGCAAAATATACCTTTTATTCGCCTTTATAATATGCATGCACATGAGAAAGAATAACAAATTGTAAATCAAACGTGTAAAGGAAGAAGAAAAGAAGGAAATTGCAATGAAATTATCTCCTGAGAATTAAAATTTCTTTCAAGTCCCATGTGTGTGGGTTTTTTGTAGTTTTTTCTCTCTCTTTATTTTCATAGCATTATTATTTGAAGCCAAAAGCAAGAAAAAAAATTGCAATTGCAAGTGCTTCATGGTTGAGCGATATGAAAGAAGACCGCCGTGGCACAAAACCGTCAGATGTAAAAAGAGGAAAAATAAATAAAGTGAGTGAGAGAGAAGAAAAAGTTCAAAGCGATAAAATTGCTTTACTGCCTTTTTTTTCCAAACACTTGCACATGGGCAATAATGAAATTGTAGCAACAATAAGTAAGCAAGCGAGTGCCTATCCTAAAAAAAAACAGTGAAATATGGTCGTGAGTTTTGAATTTCGGGCATTAATCTTGATTGTTTGGATGGTCAAGGTGTTTCAGGTGATTTAGGCATTCATATAAATAATCCTGCATGCAGGAACAAGTCAATGAATCTGTATGAACAAAAAATCCAAATTAATCACTTAGAACTCTCCAACAACATCCATCAGATAGTAAAACAATTTTCTGCCAGTCTACACCACACATTACATCCAATGTGCATCGAATAAATTCACAACAGAGGAACAAAGACCAAGAACGAGTAAGTGAAATGGAAAGAGTAAAAAATTAGCTTTCATAATAATCAATTAAGTTAATTAAAAAAGCCTCCGGTTTGTTGAGGCGGCAAATCAACCAAACATCAAAGGAGAATTGAAAGAATAAAAAAATAAAAAAAAAGAAGGGGAATTACGCCACCATCATCTTTCAAAGTGAATTAAAACATTTATACGAAGCCATCGCGATGGAGTTGAATATTCCCAGGCAATATAAAATTGTTTTTCGTCTTGCATGAGCGATGTGGATGGATTAAAGAAATTATTATGCCTTTTTTTTTGATACACATATCGGCTTTAATGACTCTCGCTGTGTAAATAGCGTTTAATGGTGTGAACTATATGCATGCATGAGAAGTCATCTTTGATGTTAGACTTAATATACATTTTTATTACAATATTAAGAATATCTTTGATCGTGATTTGTCATACTCGTGTGTCTAAAATATTCTGAGTAAATGCCATAAATGGCCACATATCTAACCAATATTCAAACATTTATGCTGCTCATTAAAAATTGAATTTTCAGAATCCATAAATGCAAATAAAAGCTACCATCTAAAAAATAATAATTTCAGCTAGATGACTCCAACTCAGACAATTATCACCTCTGAAGTGTAAGAATCATTAAGACTCCACTAAATGAACATTCATTCAACGACTTCATTTTACTGTAAAAACTTTATCTAATTAAAATTTCTCTTCTCATCTCAATAAACTAATTCACACTGGAAGTAAATTTTCAACATGTGGATCTCCTCTTTCTTTCGGTTCCTTATGAATTTTTTTTATGAATATTGTTGTTTTATAATCCTTTGACACCTTCGAAATATGTATTTTTAGAGATAGCTTGTTTTGAAGGTATTGTAGGGCTCTTTGGTGATTTCCGTGATTTCTATGAATTTCAAGGTTTATTTATGAAACAAAATTATGGACTTAATGGTGTAGAACGCTCAAAATGCGTTTCAAAGCTACCCTTTCAGACATAGCCTGAAAACTTTTTTCGGTAAAGTTCTAAAAGACACCAAAATTTCGTCTGTAAATTGAACAAAAATGGAAACAACAGCAAATAAACAAGAAAAGAAGTTTATTGTTTACCACGGAAATGGTATTTTTAGCACTTCTATGTTAATTGGGACTCTAGCAATTCAAGAAGAAGATAACAGAGAAAAAAAATAATACACAAGTAATTCGATGAGCAAGAAAATCGATGTCTTAAGTAAATGCAAGAAGAATGAAAGGAGATATATCTTGATGCCCGCAGATGATTTAAAGGCTTTATTTTTTTCTTTATGTCTTCTTCTTTGACTGACTTTTCGTTTTCGCTTCATGTCAAAAGAAAAGAAGGCGCATGCATTGCAATTTTCTAAGGCTTCACCTTTCTTCAATAATGAATAATATCAACAGAAATGCACAACAGAACTGAAATTGAAGATGATTCATGTTTACTTTTTGTTGATTCTGCATTGTAAGCGCATTTATGTGATATCTTACTTGGCATATTTGGCAACTTTTTTTTCTCACGATTTAATAAAATAAATGGCTCTGTCATAATGTTATCTAGTTTCGACTAATATAAAGCTTTAATGTCCAAAATCTGCTAGTCACTTTTTTACTTCAATCATAAACTTTCCTATCTTAGGCTTGTATTATCCTCAATAAAATGGTCAAAGAGTCATGACTAGTAACATACGTCTTCCCACAAACCAAAGTATCAGCTTAAAATGTAAATGCTTCATGCTCACTGAAAGAATTTACTTTGCATAAGTGATATTAGTGCGCCATCCATAAAACCGGGGAGACGAAATGAATACCACCCATACGACTAAGGTTTCACAAACAAAAAAACCGCATTTGAATGAAATTGATGAAACTGAATACTTTACATGCATAATTTTAAGAACGTCAAGTATAATGGAAGGAGGTCGGTTTTTGCATATGCACAAAATATTGAAGATTTTTTAAAAATCACATCAGAATGAATTAAAGTCAAAGATTGAATTGACTTTTCATCTCAGAAATGAGTGCATTCATGCGCATCATATCAATATCTACCTACACGATCCATGATGATCTCATCCCATTTTTTTCTTCTCACTCATTGTTCAAAAATTATTTTTTTCTTTTCATTCTAATTCACACCTTTTTTCAGGTCAGAATGAAAGAGATTTAAACGATAGATACAGACTTTTTATTTCTGAAACCTTTAATCGAGTGTTCTTCTTTTGTTTTGTTTTACCTTCCTTCCTCTCTCGCAAAAAAAGATGAACTTAAAATTTGTGAAATAGGTTTCGTTCATTTATGATGTCTATACTCTAAAATGGAAGGAGGCTAGTTGCTTAACTTTTCGATAAACATCATTTTCACTTGAATCCATAGACAATTTGGGATTTTATATGAAGTCTTTAATTTGATCGGCGCTTCTTCGTACAAAATCATGGATGTGGAAGTTTGATTGACTAGATTATGATGGAAGAGAATTAAATGAACTTTTAATGATTAATGGAAATAGCAACTGTAAATTTTGATTGTAAAATCTTTGGATGACTTTAAGTGATAAATGATGTCACAAAGTTTTAATGACGCTACAGCTGTTAGTCTACGAAACATCCCCAGCAATCTTTACACTCCTGCAAAACCTGAACTCATGACCGAAACACAAAAGAATTCCTCGTCGACGACTAATTCGTCTTTTGTTTCTACGAAACGCTTAATTTCCTTTGCGTATTTTTCAACTTCCATTCTTTAATATGGATTATTTTCGGTGGTGCTTCTTCTTCCCGCTACATAAATTATTTAAACGTTAAAAAAATCTTCCTAATTTATGAGGAATGCAAAATTTATGTGCAGACTCACTTTTTGAAATATTGGAAGTCTGGAGAACACACAATGTATATTCGAATCTGATGACTTTGAGATGAATAAGCTTGGTTCTTAAGAAAACATCTTTAAATGTAAATTTTTGAACACCCATTAGCAATATAGAAGCTGCTTTTCCTTCACATTTCAGCTAATCCTCAATCAATTTATTCAATTTTCTTCATAACATTTACAAAATGTCATAAATTAATTTCCAAAAACCCACTCGACTTACTAGCTAATGAGTCATAATGATTGTAAATCTATAAATTCTTAGCCTGCCTCGCTATTCAATGATTTCAGCCAATTACTTCCTTTCATATTTCAGTGATTAACAACCACAAATGCAC